TCTATATTCAAATTATGTTCCAAACAAATATGAAAAGAAAAATCGAAAAACAGAATTTCAAAATTTGGAATGAAACTTGTTCCAAAATCGGACTTTTTCCAGAGCGGAATTCGGAATTTGGAATTCTTTAATCACCTATAATATAAAATACATAATAACATTGATATTGCAAGTGTAATTTTGGAAAAACAAATAGAATTTTACAGAAATATTTTCAAAAATTAAAATCCAGAAATTGGAATCTAATATCAGAAATCGGAACTTTCTGAATAAAGAACGAAAAACGTTATTCTAAAATCGGAAAAATATTCCGATTGAAATCGGCGGAATTCGGAAATTTCATTCCAATTTCCACTCCTACAAGACAGAAAGTTTATACAGGCACATTATATATCACAGGGCATATGTATACACACACACACACACACACACACACACACATTTAGTACCTCAGAGATTGGGCTTTTGGGAGAGCGATGATCAGCAAGTTTAGGGCTTCTCTCTTTGGGTGCTTTAGTAGCTAAGTTTGAAGAAGAAGCAGTGTGGTCTAAAAACCTCGGACCAGTCTTCAGCTGCCGCACCACTTTCGGAGAACTCTTTTGCAACACTTCTGCAGAACCACCTTGACTAGGTGAGTTCTTCTGAGTTACCTCCGTCGAACTCGATCGAGGAGAGATCCTCTGTGCCGCACCCCCACCGGCCGGACTTGTTCTGCACTCAAGAACAATATGTTAATTCTTGGATAGGATATTCCCACACACACACACACACACACACACACACAAAAGATCTGATTTTTAAGAGTAACAGAGAGAAAGAAAGGGTTTACCTTGCTTTAGGAGTCTGCATTTCTTATTTACTCTCTGGTTTGAAAAGTAAATGAGGGGCTGTAAGATAAAAAAATTCAGATACTTAAATGCACAACAATACCTGCAACAAATGCATAAATATCACAAGCCAAGGACCAGAAAATAAATTATAAAAAAATTGAAAAGGATAGTAAGAGAAATATGGGAATCCAATGAAATTAAATGCACAAGGAGAGCAGCAGCCAGTGAGGATCAATTTTACAATAAATGTACCTTTTCCCCCCCACACAACCGAAAAACCAGCTACATTAAATCCAGTCACGCACAATGTATATAAACATAACACAATTAAATTAAATTAAAAAAAAAAAAAAAATCAATTCTTTAGAATTAAATGATCAGGAATTGTAGGCGTGCTTTATTATTTTACCCAGCACAATTGTAGTCACGAGGTATTCCACAGCTGTATAAAAAAGAACCATTTTTGGGCTAAGTGGGGACTCAAAGGGAAATTTTGCCAATCATGGAGGGCATTTTTGTAAAATTGCAAAACCCAACCATTCTTGCCGAGGTTAATGTTAATGGGTAAGCAGAAGAACAAACAATAATGGAGCTGACAAACGTCAAATGGCAGTTCTTTTATTCTTAAAAAAAATGTTTTTTTTTTGAAAGATTAGTTCTACCTACTTGTAATGTACAGACAGAGTGTTGTTACTCTGTTAGCAATGCAGATTCAAAAATCAGACATCTTTGCAAGAAAATTACTTTGTGGTAATGAAAAGTACAAGAATCAAAAAGGGGATCTAAAAAGATGCCATTTTTACAACTGCTACATTTACAGAAAAGAAGAGAAGGAAAGATTGAAATTAAAGGCAATGGGGGGTGTTTCTTACCAAGAGAAAACTTGAAAAAATGGAAGGCGGTTACAATAATGTATGAGGAATTAAGAGAAGAAAAAAGGAGCGGCCATTGTTGAAGGGTGGAGAAAGTCTGAAAGAGAGCTCTGTCTTTGAGGCAACTGCTACTTGGGCTATTTGTCTGATTTGTGTCTGGTTTTTTTTTTTTCAAAGTAGTGGGTGACTGTGTGTGTTTGTGTGTGTGTGAGAGAGAGAGAGAGAGGAGAGAAGAGAGAGAGAGTGGGGAAAGTTGATTGGCATTGGATAAGTAAAGACAAAAAATATGGGGATGGATGAAAATAGAGATGTCGCTGTGTAGGAGCGTGTTGAGTTGGGAACGGCCGAGTTTCGCGACTTTTTTTATTTATTTATTTTTCTTTTTTTAATGAAAAATGATTCTATAAATCTATAATATTTGATGTTATTTTTAAATTGTAAAATATATTTTTTATTACATTCATTCTTAAAAAGATTCTGTTAAAGTTAACAAATTTATACATTAAAGGATGAAAACAATATAATAGGAATATGAGGGACTAATGTGAGATTAAATACTAAAATGAGGAGTCATTAATGAAATTTAACTATTTATTTATTTGTAGGGATGCACGTATTAAGATATTTGGCCCCATGAGATAGTCCAAAATGTGTTTTTATCTAATTTGGTTAATAGAGAAGATTTATACGAGGTTGTGTCAATTATACGAAACGGTCCATTATAATATAATATAATTAATTAAATTCGAAATAGTGTAGTAGAGTATAGGTCCGCAAATGGGACCCACTGGAGTGCAGGATTCTCGTATTTTGGTCACATGGGTATGGCTGGGTCATTTAAGTTATGTCCAATTCCGTCAATATTAGGTCACTCTCATTCTTTACAACATCATTTATTTACCAATAACTCCCTTACTTTTTAAAAATTATAACCATTCACCGTAGTTTGTAAATTTAGTACATCCACCCCCTAGAAAATGGTATTAATATAAGAAATCTACAAATTGCAGGGAGGTGGATGTAATTACGAAAAAATGATTGTCTTTTTTTGTAAATAATAAAGCTTACCTTAGGGCTTAACTTTTAAAAACGGTTAGAGCAACTGAGCATGGGTTAACTGATCCATATTCGAATCCCCTTGTCAACGGTCGATAGGTGGATTTTGTCACAAATGATTAATCTGGTCAGTTTTATTATTTTCTTCCTCTTGTTTCGCTATTTTTGGATATGGGATTGACCCGCTTTGTTTGACCAATCAAAAAAGTGACCCAAACTAAAGGGCCTTGCCGCATGTATGTAATAAACATTTGGGCCATTTAAAAGGCATATAACTGCAAGCCCATCACATTATTCGTAAATTAAATCATGGCATCTTATTTTATTAAAAAAAAAAAAAAATCTGTTAAAAATTTATTAATTATTTATTTATGTTTGAGATAAAGGTGAACAAGAGTTTACTCTTTATTACCACTTTATACTTTATAGGACCACTCGACTTTTGAATATGGAAACTTTTTTTGTCCGGGCACGAATTGAAGTATTTCATAGGACCACTCAACCTAGCCACCAAATATACTAATATATATGTCAGTACATTTGGAGATAGGCTTTAAATCTAACAAAAATACTAATATATACTTATTTTTAACAAAGGGAAATACACTCCACACATTGAAGCCCAATAATATCCCCAGAAGAAAAAGTTAGGTTAAATTGCGGTCACCCTTAAGATAAAATTAAATTACAAAAAAATTCTTATATTCAGGTAATAACAATCACGCTTGCAACTTTGAATCTTCTTACACATTTATTCATGTGGTGTTAAATTTAGTGGAATTTTCTACATTATGCGGAATATTCTCTAGTTTGTACCTATTTTACTCCATTTGACCTCCAGATCATAAATTGCGTCTCTTCACTTGTAAATATCAGATTGTAGTGCAACAGAAACTACATTTTTTTCACAAAACAAGTACAAACTAGCTAGAGACATTCCACTGAATCTATAAGAGTAAATATTTAATAAGATTCATAGTTAAGGAGATAATTGTAATTACCAAAACAATAAGAATTTTTTCGTAATTTAATTTTACCTCGAAGTTGCCATAATTTAGTAATTTACCAAAATATGTATTACGTGCAAATTATTTATCTCATGGGGTGACTCTAGTAGCTAGCACAGTAGTATATATATACAACTCCACGTACATATTTAAATTCCCACTATTATTTGTCAAAAAGAAATAAAAAATCCCAAGAAATATAATACAAAAAGAAAAAAAAAAAAAAAAACAATGGCAACGAGCAAGCATCTAATCGGGTTCCTGAACTTCCTAAGTTTCCTCCTCTCCATCCCGATACTCGGCGGCGGGATATGGCTGAGCAGCCGCGCCAACACCACCGACTGCCTCCAGTTCCTCCAGTGGCCGCTCATCATCATCGGCGTATCCATCATGGTGGTCTCACTCGCGGGATTAGCCGGCGCGTGCTACCGCAACATATTCCTCATGTACGTCTACCTGTGGTCCATGTTCGTCATCATCGCCGCCCTCGTCGGCTTCGTCGTCTTCGCCTACTCCGTCACCGAGAGGGGCTCCGGCCGGCCCGTCATGAACCGGGTTTACCTTGACTACTCTCTTCAGGATTACTCCGGCTGGCTCGCCGACCGCGTGGCTGATCAGAGGTACTGGGCTAAGATCAGTTCTTGCATTAGGGACTCCCACGTGTGCCGGAAAATGGCCAGGTCCGCCGGCGGTGCACCTGAGTCCGCCGACTTGTTTTATCTCAGGAAACTCACTCCCGTTCAGGTAATTAATTAATTATTGTTTATCATTTTTTTATTTATTAAGTTGGAAAATTGATAATATAATTAGCACTAATTAAAAGTTACAAATTAAAACAAAAAAAAATGAATTGCGTGACGCTTATATTTGCTAAATAGTATAGTAATCTTGGGTCATAATAATAGAATATTACGCACCCGTTTTTATAGATTAATGTCTCGTTTGCTTATCTATCGAGTTAGCCCGAAAATTGGATTAGTTACATACTGGTTAACTAATTAATTAGTTAATAATATATTTAATAATTTAGATTACATCTTGTATTAAATTTGTTAAATTCAGTTAAACAACCTAAGATTGTTTTTCACTTGGTTATCATGCACATGCACAAGTTCAATCAAGACTCATGTTTTTAGGTAAAATAATATTAGTTAATTATAATTGTTTAAATAATTATGTAATAACACACATAAAAATTAAGACAGAAGATACTACAAAAGGCCTTGTCATAAATCATAATTAATATAATCAAGCACTGTTAATGTAACTTTATATTGAACTTTCTTTTTGGGTGATCAACTGATCATGTTAATCCCTTTTTGCCTTTTTAACTTCTTATTTTATATTCAGAATATCGAGCTTTTACTTTTTTTATTTGTTTTTATCTCTCTTTCTACTATCTTTATTTATTCTTTAATCCCTTTCCCCCTTTCCTGAAAAGTCGGCATAATTTTTTGCCTGCAATAATTTCAATTTCAGCCTCTGCATGCATGTCTTTCTTTCTTATCAGCTACGAAAACCCAAAAAGGTTTTATTATAATTTTTTTTAAAGAAATGGTTTAATTTATTTTAATTTAATTTAATGTGCAGTCGGGATGTTGTAAGCCGCCAACATCATGCGGCTACACGTATATGAACGAGACGTACTGGGCCCCAGGCGAGGGGTTGACCGGGATTGACACCGACTGCCTACGCTGGAGCAACGATCAGCTGCAGCTCTGCTACGGCTGCGGCTCATGCAAAGCCGGCGTGTTAGCCAGCCTCAAGACAAGCTGGAGAAAAGTCTCCGTTATTAATATTGTTATTTTAATTATCCTTGTTCTTCTATACGTCGTCGCTTGGGCCGCTTTTCGCCACATCAAATCCATTGACAATGAAGAAGCCCATGGCGAAACCCGCATGGAGAAAGCCCGGCCCACCTACCTCATTTAATATAATATATTTTTTAATTTAATAATATTATGTTTTGGTTATTTTATGTAATTTTTATTTTTGTACCGTCATGCTATAGAAATGCTTTGTCCATTATTTATTTATTGAGCAATTACTGCCACTCATGACTTATGGTCAAATTACGAAAACCCCTCATGTTATGTTTTGGTAATTAGATCCACCCTCCTCAACTATGTATTATGTTACTCAAATACCCCTTTGGAGGTAAAAATTTAGGAATGCTAAATCGGTAAAATTAAACCAAAATTTCGGTATGCCAACATTTCATACCGTTTTGCTGAGCTAAATATACAATTTGGTGCGGTAATAACCGAATTACATAAATTTTTATGTAAAAATATTTGAAATGAGGAATTTTTTTGGAAAATAATTTGCTGCGCCTCAAGCAAAAGAATAGGTCGTCGCGGCGAAAATTAGGCACATAGAATAAATCAAAAAACTTGATACTGTAATTAGATACTCGATTGCTAAAATTACATTTTTTGATCACCATAAATAGTAAATAAAAAATAAAAATAAAAATTATAAAGGGCTAGAGATCAATTCAACACGTGGGAACAGTTCTTATATCTTCTGATTCCTCCTCATTTTCCACCACACTAGTCCTACCAAGTTTCTGCATCAAAATAGTATTAGAATTTACCACAATTAATTATTGCAATTTCACTTAATTAATCATTTAAATAAAATATTTTAAAGGGCTAGATTTAGTTCAATTTCACCTTGTTTAGTGAAGAATCGCTTTCTTTTTCGAGCTCGCGCATCATCTCCATAGGCAGCCCAAACCACTCGTCGATCCATCCAAAAAAATTTCTATGACTTTCGAGGAAAAATGCTCTTTCGCCCTGCCATATTTAAATCACACGAGCAACTCGTTACATTAGTGGAAATATAAATCAAAAAAATTAATTAAAAATCATATTTTTCACGACTATGAAGAGCAATATTTATATACCGCGAGAAGAGCTTGTTCAAGCCTACTACCAAAGCCCCAATACGGAGCGTCGATTGTCACCAACTTGTAAGCCGTCATAACTGGATCGCATCGCTCCTGCAAAATAAAATATATTAATTTTTCGATATTTATTGACAAAATATTTAAATGAACGAGAAATTACGTACCTGCCATCCATCCAATAACGGACCACGGCCAGTTCTTGACGATTGGAACTGGGAAAAATCAATATTGCTACTGCCGATAATATAACTCCAATAATCACTCGTATCCGTAGCTATATCCATCGTTTCCACCTGTCTAACTGCTAACTGATTTTCCATTAGCCCATGTACCTAATTTTTCATCGTCCAAACATATTTAAAAAAAAAAAGAATTAAAATACTTCCTCCGTTGAATTTACGAGATACCTGCAACAAACTACATCAAGAGTAAAATTCGAGTAGCTTCTTTAACTTACATTTTCCGATTGACCATAGTCAGCCTTATGAATCGTCTCAATTGTAAGAATAAACCTCGTGAAATATGGGCACTACAATTACATTTAAAAAAAAATGTCAGAACTCTATCTAGGATCGTCAGCCATTTAAAGTAAAAACGGCAACCGCTTCAGTATTTTACCTTGATAACTGTTTGAAACGGAGCGAAATTCACACAAGCGACGATGGAGAAACATTACAAGAAGAGAAAAAAGAAACTTGTTATTCGATGAACGTATTAAGTAAAAAGCACACGATAAATAGAAACGTAGTACATACCAGATTTACATCTCGGGTAAGCGTTCCACGCTTCTTCTTGCATCACGAGAGCATCTGTTGGTGCAAATCTTGCCAACCAAGTTGGAGCTTTGCTGTAAAGAACATAATAATAAATTAATTAAAAAATTGAAATATAAACACATGATCCCACATTAATTTATGATTGAAAACAAGAATGCCACTTATCAGACAGAACATTCTTCGGTAAAGATAACAACTTTCTCGAAACAAAAAAGTTCAAACACGAAATAAACTATTTAATAACTAAAATAAATGATTTAATTTAATTTACCTCTGCAACCTATAGATTTTCAAAGTGTATTGACCTTTACCAAAGTCATCGTCTTCGAAAGGTCGATTTTCCAATACCTCCACACCTTCTTTCCCATCTGTGTTCTGTTGCTGCATTTTCATAACCATGTACATTTGTGCTACTTGAAACTGCAAAATACAAATGCAGAAATATAAATTAAATCTATTTTATTATTTTATTATATATATAGACATTGACTTTAATGTACCTCTTCTACGGATAAGGGCATAACGATTCGACTTTAGAACAAACCCCAATTACAAGAAAGTATGCTGGTCAAGGAAACAATTTCCAGGCAAATATTTTCTCAAAAATCATTAAAATCAATGATTAAAATCCAATGATTAAATTCAATGAAAAATAAATCATAATGTGACGCGAGAAACAAGAACAGGGGGGTACGATCATATGCAGCAAAATACAACGACAATAATAATAAAAATAAATAAATCACCAGACACAAGTACGAGAAAGAAATAAAGGATACAATTCTTTCATCTGAACCATCTTTTGTTGCAGAGATTTCCTGGGTTCTTGCTCCTCCGGATTTTAAAAAAAAATTAAAAAAATGATTTTTTTTTTCTTTTTTTTGATGCGAGTATGAAATTGCAGGATTAAAAAAAAGAAATTGGATAAATCGAAAATGGGGAGGAGGGTGTTTTTGTATGGGGAAAAAACAGAGAGAAAGAAACGAAGAGAATGCGAGAAGACAGACAAACAACAATATTAGACGGTGGTGGAATGGAACGTGTCCTTTGCGTTGGTTTTCGCTTACTTTTCCTTTTCTTGGGAAAGTCCCAACCGGGTTTTTCAACTTCGGACAACGGTCCGAACCGGATGGAATTTGTGGGCCGGTTTTTCTGTTTAGTTTCTTATTGGGCTAAAATTTTGATGGACTTGCAACTCAAATAGGGCCTTGTTATAATTCTACCTTCATGTGAACGAGCTCGGTTATCTTTGCCTATTTCAAAAGTGAGTTTCTAAGTTCTAAAATTCAAATATTATGTATAATAAGAAACTATAAATGTCGTTTTAATTTATGTAAATACAGTTTTGACTTCGAACCTGGTTTTTACCATTTTGTAGTATGATTTTTGGTAAAATTCAGAAGATGGAAACTGTAGTTACTTGAGTTAGTTTTCTAATCAAACTTGAATCAGCTAGATTGAATTTTATATAACTTAAAACATCAAAATTGTAGTCATTATTCGTTGATTCACGCATATCTTTTCCACCCGATATTCAATCTTGATGATTCAAGTTGGACTAGAACTTTAACTCAAAGAATTGCAAATTCCGTGTTTTGAGTTTTTCCGAATTCAGCCTAAAATGGCCAAAATTATGTCTGAAGTCGAAACGGTATTATTAAAACTAAAACGACATTTATCACATTCCGTTTTAATATGTGATTAACAAAGTACACTAAAATCCACTTAAAAATTATATTCATTTAACAATCAAATTTAATCCAAGCACAATCAATATAAATTTTGTTTATATTAGTAAAAAAAAAATGCAAGCTTTATGTATATAATAATCATTCACCAATAAAGTTTAGCAAAGTAGTAATGAATTTATTTTATTGGGTGTATTTAATTTAAAAATAAAATAAAAATTGTATAAGCCTCTGCACAATTTATTAGGCCGCCATTCAAAGAACGTAGGCTCTTCTCTTTTTATTTTTCCTTTATACTTTTATTATTAATATTCCCAATCAATTGTATTAAAATTATTAATTGGTTGTTGCACCAAATAAAGTTGAAGTGTCCTTAACATTATAGTGTCTCTAGTACATAATTATGTGCATGGAAAAAGATATTTGAACCTTCTATTTATTTCATTTCAAATTCCCTTTGCAAAAAAATAAATCTAATCATATATTATAATATAAGATTTTTACTAATTTCATGGTTTTGTCTAACACGTGTACGTACGTACTATCACTTACAATTCAATAATTCATGGATTTAATTTATATATATGTATAAAATAATATTTAAAATGGCGGCAAGGAATAGTATAGTTGTTGGGTAGTTTGGAAATTCTAATAAATTTATTTTTCTTTTTATGTAATCTTAAAAGGATTTAAATTAAAGGTTTAGATATGCCACTTTAGATTAATTAACATACTAATATATACACTAGTATAATACAAGTCAAATAAAACCTAACTCAACTAGACAGCAGCCATCAAGACTTTGGACAGATTAAGGTAAAAGACAGTTAGCCATTGACTAAGACAACAAACAATACTACCATTTATATATGTTTCAAACTAATCGACATATATTATATATAAAAAAAACATGTATAAATGTATATAGTCCAGTTTGTACACGTTCTAGAAAAATCTAAACGGGAAAATAGGATTACAACTTATAAGCACTAAAAAGCCGTGTGGACCAATTACATTATATTCTTGCTCACTCATTATGCAGTTGTGAACCAATGTACATCCAATATTTACAGTTATTGAGATGCTACGCCGCGGCATACATACATACACGAGTGTGTGATTATATGCTGATCAGTGGTTAATAATCAGTATTAAAAAATAAATAAATAAAAAATAATAATAAAAGAGCCTAGTTATATATATTCTACAGTATAGTTGTTAAAGTCGTTATTATGAATTTAGTTAATTTGCATGTGGGCGGGTCCCATGAGGAAAGCTCTTAGACTTTGCACTTGTTATTCTCTGGTTATAGGCCCGTTCATGAGATTTTGGGGGCCTTAGGTGACACTTGAAGATGGTTGAAAAATGGGGCCCTTCTACAATGTACGTTAAAACTCAGTTTTTTTCTAAAAAGATGATAAAATCTATGTGAACACGTTTTTGTAAGGTATAGCTAGAGACAAGGCTATAAATTTCCGGGGGTTTGGGGGCAGCGCCCTCGAATTTTTTTGAAGGATAATTTTCATTAAATAGCACTAAAACAAGTGTAAATATATAAAAATAAAATAGCTAATGCACTGCAAATTTAATAATTGGGGGCCGCATGATTAGATGAATTTTAGAAATAAGTAAAAATCGTTGATCAATATCTATTCATGAATTAGAGTTCGCAATAATTATACATATAATATATATTTTTTAAAATAAATACTAATATATAAAGGGTATAAAAAAATTTGGGGGCCCTAAATTTTTACAAAAATTCGGGGGCCCTAGGCGACCGCCTACTTTACCTCCCTTCAGAACCGGCCTGTCTGCCTACACATTAATTAGTAATACTAATTATCACAACTAAATAATATACTAAAATGTATGTTGTGAAATTTTCGAAGTAAGAAAAATCAATTCCACGCTATGCTGCACGGACACTTCTAAAAGGTGAAGAGTCCCCGTATCCGATACCTGGATACCCGGACACATCCAGACACTTTTCGGACACCCGTGTCGGGCCGTGTCGTAATTTCGCTAAAAGTAGGACACCCGTGTCGGGCAGTATCCACAATTTAAAAAAAGTTAGGACACTTCTCTGACGTTTTAAGAGATAACCCTAATAAAAAAATGCGCATTTTCTTTTCTCTGTAATACACATTTCCTCTATTTTCTTTGTAAGTTCACCCAAAACTCCAAAAGTCTAGCATGCGACGGCGACCAAGAACACGAGCATCAAGGGCGAGCGGTTCTCTTATGCGATGACGACTTATACATATTTTCTACAATTTATAAATGTACCCCTATATTTTTATTATTTATAAATATACCCTTATATTTTTTATATTTACGCGTATCCCCCGCGTGTCCGTATCCTAATTTTTTGGAAATGCCGTATCACCGTGTCCGTATCCTCGTATCGCCGTGTCCACGTATCCGTGTCCGTGTAGCATAGATTCCACGTGGTTAGTATTATTATTTATTAAGTAAGAGTACTTGAGATGTATAATTAGGCTTAATTTGCGTCTTAGATTCAGTTTATTATTGATAATGATGTGGCGATAGTCAAGAATATTTGGCCGTGCTCTTTGTCGTACACAATGTATGTAACTGTGTATGTACACATCTTAAACTACAGTTAATAATGATTGGAAAATTTGTAATTTTGGCAATGTACGTTTAATCTTCTACTTTGGTATTTTTAAATTGCTCTCTTTCGATTTTACACGCAATAATTATTACTTTACAAAATTTAATATTTATCTAGAATTTCAGTCTCTTTGGTTATTAATCTGAAGATGCTTCGTAAACATTATATCTCAAATATATATAATTATATATGTATATAATAATTAAAGAAAGAGCACAAAAACTTATAGAACAAAAGATTTTGAGGAAAATCGTAGCCTTTTTTATTTTACCCAGGTCCACACGCAATGAAATGTCAAGACACTAGTCAAATTACTTCAAAGTTCAAATACGAAGACAAGACGAGGAATTATTTTTCTCTTGGTAGAAATTTTTTTCATATTTAATTAATTTGGATTCCAGCCTACATATATACTTTGCCAACTTTGTATAGTTCGATTAATTAATTCACAATTGGAATATTGAGACATTTATTTGGACTTATGTTACACAACAGTCTACTTTTCCTATATACACGACAATTCAATATAAGAACTGCACTTGTCTGAAATTTTGTTGACAACATAAATAATAAATAATTACACATGCATTCTCAAGCTTACACGTGGCTATATGCTAATTACATTAACAATTTATTCAATTTCTTGCAATTCTAATGTAGACTGAAATTGCCAATACAACTATATAAGTTTGTATTTTGTACTCTAAATTTACCATTCTATAAAATTTGCCATTTCACAAGATACTCGAGCTTCGTTTTTTTTTAATAATGTTAGACAATATATAGTTTTATTAATACAAAATCATGCAAATAAAAAAAATAAAAAAAATTCCTCACGAGCTATAAAGTAAAACCCTGTAAATGGGTTCGAGCTCGAAAAACTTGAATTCGAACTTTTATTGAGCAAGCTCAGGACCTCACTAGTTACTAGATCTTCTCATGCTTTTGAATTTTATTTACCAAATAAAAAATATATATATTTAAAAAAAACATGTCCATGTCAAATTGGCAAAGTTAAGTAGCTAGATTTTCTTTAGATTGAAAGGTAATGGCTTGACTTTATACAGTTGAATAATCAGACTTAAAATAGTGGACTAATTGGGTATTATCCAAAAGAGTTGGAGAAGTTGTATAGAAAATTTATATGGGGCCATGAGAGTGTAGAAATTCTTCTCCTAATTGGTAGAAAATTACGTTTGTGGAAAATTTGGTTTAATTTATCGATCGTGTTAATTGTTGAATATATAACCCTTGTATAATCTTAAATTACCAAAATACTTATTGGTAATTAAATTACCAAAATACTTATTGCAACAAGTAATACCTCAATTTGGTCTTAATTTCCACTTTTTTTTCCGACCGAGTTGGTTCCATATGCAATGCCTAGTCTTCTTGTTAATTGAGGTTTATACACTAGTTAAGAGGGTGTTTGGTCTACGCTTATAAGTTGTTTAAAAGAGCTTATAAGTTATTTAAGAATTTATAAGCGCTGCCAAAGTATTTGGAAAACAAGCTATTCGAGAGCAAACGATATTTTGTTTAAAAAGTTAATCTACTCCACCTTAAAAGTTAATTATCCAAACACTTTAAAAGTTAATTCTAAAAATAAGACTGAACAACTTATTAACTCTTAATACAACTTATCAGATTTAAGTGACTATCGACTATTTAAAACAAGTTAGCCTAACGGGCGCTAAAAGTATATTTTCTCGCCTAAATGTAAAATCAAGAAATAGTTTTTCAAAGAAAACGACTCGTCCCCACTCTTGTGCCTATATATATTCTCATATTAAGCACCACGTTTAGTACCAAAACATACACTTCTAATTATTAATTACATCCAATATATAACACTTACTCTCTCTCTTAGACAAAAACACAAACACATGGAGGGCAGTACTACTGACACAACCAGTGTAACTAACTATGGTTCAGTTAGCTCGGCCTCATCTTCTCCTCCTCGGCCTCAATCTTCTGCCGTACTAGTGGCCAGCCCTTGCGCTGCTTGCAAGATTCTACGGCGAAGATGCGTCGACAAATGCGTGCTTGCTCCTTATTTCCCGCCTAATGACCCACTCAAGTTCACCACTGCCCATCGTGTTTTTGGCGCCAGCAATATCATCAAGTTCTTGCAGGTATATACATACTTTACACACAGCAGTGTAAACGCACAGCACCGTAGGAAAAAAATGTGTAGGAAGTGTGCTCATTTTCTTTGACAATAGTGGGAGAATATAGTTTTCTCACACGGCCGACAAATTAAAAGCGCTTCTTTACTTTATTAATTAAATGTGTTGCGCATTATATTAAACAAAATATATTATTATGCATATATATATTAAGTAATAATATTTTATATTTTTCTACCACTAACAATGTTTTTTTTAAACAATTCTTTTATTATCGTTATATTGAATTAGATAACTATGATGATAAATTCGTGACATAAAAAATAATATTTGGTGTACTAATGTTTTTTTTTTTATCATAGATAATTAATTTCCGTCTATTAAATAACGTTGATGTAAATTAATTCAGGAACTCCCCGAGGTGCAAAGAGCCGATGCGGTGAGCAGTATGGTTTACGAGGCGAATGCGAGGCTAAGAGACCCCGTATACGGATGCGCGGGCGCAATTTGCCAACTCCAAAAGCAAGTGAATGATCTTCAAGAACAACTAGCTAAATCTCAAGCTCAACTCACCAACTTCCAATGCCAAAACGCTAATCTCATGGCTCTAATATGCATGGAAATGACGCAATCGCCCCTCGCGATCTCGTCGCCCTTAATATTTGACCATCAACAACAAAACTCGTACGACAACTTCGCAAGTTGCCTAGGCAACAACACGAGCTTCTTGGATGATCAAAACATCCTTGGGATCCTGTCGTCCGATAGTCAGCAATTCGTTTGGACTTAACCAAATCCTCGTTTTTAATTTGATCATTTCAAGTTTCGTTGTCAATTTATGTAGAAATAATGTCGTTATGTATCTTTAGAGGCGAATTAATTAATCAGTGGAAAGACCGTCTGCTTTTCTAAGATTTAGTCTGACGACCGAGGGTCGTTATTAAAGAGAATGTAATATTGAAAATGTAGGTACGTAGTACCCCCTAGCTATGAGAAAAAAGTTATGTCCCTTTAATTTGGACAATAATTATTATTTAGTAGTAGTAGTTAGGTTTATTAATTGCTAATGATTATGTTGAATTAAAGAAGATGGTGAAATGGACGAGAGTCTTTAATTTGCTCCATGTTATTATAATCATTTGATTAACGGGAGAAATGTCGTTGTCCTAAGTCACATATTCTTGCCTTTTTCTTCAACTTTATCGGTAAAATATTTAACAGCCTAATTCTTAACATTAGATTCTCAAAAAATCCACGTAAAGTAAACATATTAAGTGTTTTAATTTTCCATTCTGAATTCCAACATTGACCATTTAAAATTTCTCCCAATTATATATATATATATATATATATATATATATATATATATATATATATATATATATATATATATATATATATATATATAGCAAGCCGAAGTAGTGGCCCAAAATCCATATAATTTGTGTTTCATCTTAATATTTTTACTGATTATTAATTAGTGTGTTAATTACTATAAAAATAATGTATACAAACTATAAACTAAAATCAAGTGCTCCTCACGTAGGGGTATTTTTTTTCTTGACTGGTAGATTGATACTGTATTATGTTCTTATGTGTATAATTAATTAATTAATTAATTAATTAATTAAGCATGTGGTCTTCCTTTAGTCTAACAGATCATATGCTTCTATTTTCTACACTATAGCAAGAAAAAAACGTATGAAAGGACAATTGCCTCATTTCAACAGCCATTAGTCAAATTTTACTAATTGACTATTAAACTAACCATGGTTAAATACTATGCATGATAATTTTGACTGTAATTGAAGTAGTACTCAACCATGCATGTGTGAATGTATATATATATATATATATATATATATATATATATATATATATATATGTGCAGCCTATACATATTACTGTTTATTGTACCAAAGAATATTTCCAATCATCAAAAATATTAATTAGGGCCCAAATGGAAAAGCATTCATGTGTTCTACTAACTTTTACTCTAATGTCAAAAGCATGAAAAAGGTACTAATTGACTGTTAATCAAAATATAATCCAAATAATAATATCCTTGCATATATGACGTCATAATTTCGATTAAATGGGCCTTAGTAAAGAGAGGAGCTGGGCTCAGCATTGGGCATATCTAGTAACGTGTTTTAATAGTATGATCATTTATCATTATCTATCACTATGTGCAATTTTTTTTATTAAAAAATGAAAAAAACATAAAAATAAAATGTAGCAATCTCTCTATTCTCTTCCTCTTTCTCTCTCCTTTTAAATTGTTCAAAATTTTAATTTAAAAAAAAAAGTATTTTAATTAGAAATAGGCTAATAGTACATGATACGGCCCTCTTCATTGAGTATCACTCATATCTGCCCAAAATCCTTAAGATATTGAAAGTTCACAAGCATAAGACCCAAATGAATAGATATAAGAGCTCTCCGACGAGCTGAAAATCTAGAGAGCTCTCAGACGGGTGTTGTCCGACAACGTTAAGAGTGTTGTCCGATGATCTTACCTCTTTCATGAGCTGACGAACTGTACACAAAAAAGTAATAGGTGTGCTTTGACCACATTGACCCTAGATTTTCATATCCGTCTTATATATATGCTATTCGTTTTCAACAAGAAGTACTAATTCTAACTTGAGCGTCGGAGTGATAACACCGAGTACACCCCTCTCAAGCCATTTTACAGGTCCACGACGTATAGGCTCAAGGTGAAATGACTTCAAAGATGTCTAGATTCTAAAAGGATTACATCAGTATTAAACATTAAATAATATTCGTAAATAATATAAACAGTATGAGAAATCAACTTGAAGTGATAAACTTAGAAATTATACTATTGTTATAGTATTATTTTTCGGCGTCTTAATATTAGAAATTATACTTAGAAATATTCAACTATATATATTTTTTAATTAATTATAAAAGTAGTTTGGGTCAAAAATAAAGAAAATCATTTTTATTTATTTATTTAAAATAAACCTGGACGGTAAACCCGCGAAAATCTCGATTCGAGACCTAACAATTGGGGTACCTTTAAAAACCAGAGGCACCCAAAAGAATTAAATTACATTTCCGATGTCAGCCTCCACCGCTTCACTTGACTTCGAATCAGACTCCGGCTCCGGCGCCGACGCCGACGACCTACTTGCCATCGCCATCGAGCAACGCCGCGAACTCATGGCCACCATAGCCCTCGATTCCGACCTCGATCTCGCCTTCGACCTCCAGCTCCAAGAAGCCCTAGCCGCCTCCCTCACACTCAACCCCCAACCCTCCACCTCCTCCGCCGTCATCCCCCAGCCGCGGCCGGACGAGGGCTTCGCCAATTTCACCGACGTCCTGTCCGATGAACTCCTCAAACTCGAGCAGGAACTGAAAGACCAAGCCGTTTCCGAGATGGAGTTTAAGAAATTGAAGAACGATCTACAGCGTCGGATCCATGATCAGAGAATGGCGATGGAAATCTCCGAAATGCCGGAGGAAGAGTGGGAAGATTGCGGCGATGATTTTGAGCGTCCGTTCGGGGAAGGCACTTCGAAAGGGGATAACGACGAGGTTTTTAGGGTTTATTTCAAGGGTTTGGTGGATAAGCAGTTGCCGAATGGGAAATTTCTGGGTGGGATTGGCGTCGCAATATGCGATTCGAGGGATGAATTGTTATTTGAGTTGCGGAAGCCATTGTTAGGCAATGATACGAGCAGGCGCTGTGTAGAAATTCGGGCTCTGATTGAGGGTCTTAGTGCTGCAGGGGATCTTGAATTGAAGAGGGTTGTTTTCTTTTGCGATTATTACCCCATCTTCAAATTTGTGAGTTTCGATTTTCATTTTTGATTAATCCGTGGCGTGGTGCTTTTATGTTTCTTGTTGAGTTTCTTGATATTGATTGTCTATGAAATCATTCCAAATTGTTCGTGTTCTTGACTACTTGTTATGATTTGGTCTTAATGATGGTTGGTAGAGCATTATAATTTTGGGTGAATAGTTTTAAAGTATTTACATTGTGATCGCAGGTTGAGGAATTTGTCAATCATTAAAATTGTTTACAAATCGCAGGTTACCGGCCAGTGGCTATTAAAACAGAAGAAACCCGCGGAATTGATGAATAAAGTTTTTGATCTTAAAAGAAAGTTCACGTATTGCGAGCCGTCTCTTGTTCCTAGAAACGACATAAAATTTGCATTTAAACTAGCAAGAGAAGCAATAGTTCTTCAGGAGTGTAGAGCCGCAGAGTCGAGTAGCTCCTGCACTTCAACCGAAACATGTGTTATTTGTTTAGAGGACGCAAATATCGAGCAGATATTTTCTATTGACGTATGTATGCACCGTTATTGCTTTTCTTGTATGAAGCAACACGTGGAAGTGAAGCTACTCCATGGAATCCTTCCAACTTGTCCACATGAAGGATGTACAACTGAGCTGAAAATCGATAGTTGTAGCAAATTCTTGACACCTAGGTTGGTCGAGATTATGAGTATGCGTATAAAAGAGGCTTCAATTCCAGTCACGGAGAAAGTTTACTGCCCGTATCCAAAATGTTCGGCTTTAATGTCTAAGAGAGAGGTTTTAGAGTATTCGAAGAGTTCTTTAATGGGAGCAGAAATATCTGGAGCAAGAAAGTGCTTAAAATGCAACGGTCGCTTCTGCATTGATTGCAAAGTACCATGGCACCAGAACTTGACTTGTTTCGATTACAAAAGGAGAAACCCTCATCCCCATATAGAAGAGGCGAAGTTAAAGAATTTGGCAGCAACAAATTTGTGGCGACAATGTGTGAAGTGCAACCATATGATTGAACTTGCTACAGGATGCTACCACATGACTTGCAGGTACCGTCTAAATACATAAATAACTCTCCATTCATTTAATGCCAGCATGCAAGAGATACATGAGTAACTGTGTATCTATTTTTGACCATGTATTATAAATTTCTTGATAAGTAGGATAATTTATCATTTGCATGCTCTGGTTGTTTCTAATATTTTGATCCATAATTGATTTTTATTTTTATTTTTTTGCATTTGTTGGGGTATTGAGTAGGTGATGAGTGTGACAGTGTGAGAATGATTGTAAATAAAATTTGTTGGTTCGTGTATTTAGTATGATAGATGTGTATTCGTCTAGTGTTGACATTTCTCCTGCAGATGTGGTTATGAGTTTTGCTATACTTGCGGTGCTGAGTGGAAAAACAAGAAGGCGACTTGCTCCTGCCCACTTTGGAACGAGCATAACATTATAGAAGATGAATTTGATGATGATGAATTTGACGACGAAGATGAATTTGATGAGGATGGGGAAGAGGAAGAGGAATATGAAGATGAAGAATACTTCGATGGTGATTTGTTGTTGTGAGATTACGTGTTCTAATTTGGACAACTTTTAGTGGTTTTATGAACATCTTTTGAGTACCATCTTGTAAATATGGTGCGTCGGTAGTATATTGATTGATGGAAGTTATTACAAATTATTTGTGTAAAAGATTAGCAACATTATAATCACACAAATTACAATGGAAAAGCAGACAGACAGACAAGTACACGAGATCACGGTTGGTGTAAGCTAATCCAGAATGCAGAAAAAGTAGAAAACAGATTTTTGATCAGGCGAAAAAAATCATTCAGTTAATCAGTTCAATTCCATAAAAACCATTGGCCCTATTATCTGATAAACATATCGAAAATCGCAGTTATTACCTTAGTACTTAAATAATTATCATCAACACTAACGAAAAAAGAAAAAAAACGCAATATTTAAAACCTATACGACTGAAGTTTTTCGCCATTGCATGTCAGAAGCACTCATCCTCGTTGAGGTCTGTTTTGGTTTGCATAAATGATATTGCGCTCATCCCAAATAGGACAAGTGCAGGTTGCTTTCTTCTTTTTCCATTCTGCTCCACATGTATAACAAAATTCGTGTCCGCATCTACATGAACATTTTTTTCTCAATCGTTAAAGGCAAGTTAAAAGTTACATATTAAAGATAAAAAAATAACAAAACAGAATTGATTGAAATTTTTGATCGACTAATAACCGTATGGAAGCTAATAAAACAATTACTAATAAGAAATCAAAATATCACAACGTCAGTAAAAAAAATCCTCTTGTAATTGCACTTGGAGAAATGCAATCTTTGTTAAAGAATTATGTGTTAACAGTTTACGTTGTAAGAACCCCGGTAATAAAACGAACAACAGCAAAGAAAAACAGAATAAAGAGTATATATATACCTGCAATAAATATGATAACATCCTGTAGCAAGAGAAACCATATGGCTGCATTTCGGGCACTGGCGCCAAAGATTCTGAGTAGCCAACGAAGTTAGTTTCTTGTCTTCCTTACAAGGGTAGGGGTTTAGCTTTTTATAATCAAGACAACTCATATTACTATGCCAGGCGACTTTGCAATTTACGCAAAATATCCCGTTGCACTTGGGGCACTTTCTGGCGCCCAACACTTCACTGTTGAAATTACCCATCGATCCTTTAAGCTCGCTTTTCGAGTGCAGTGTCGAACACCTCGGATAGGGGCAATAAATCTTCTCCTCTGCAGGAATGGACGCTTCCTTCATGCGTTGGCTCATTATATCGAATAACTGACGAGTCAGAAACGTCTTGCAGCTATCGAGTGTCAGCTCGGACTTGCACTTATCGGAAGGGCATTTGGGTAAAATCCCTTGAAGCAACTTAAACTGGACATGTTTCGACATACAAGATGTACAGAAGCTATGCAAGCAGCCCGCGATCTGGAACATTTGATCTGCGTACGTATCTTCGAAACAGATAGCGCAGTTCTCCGTCCGATTGTTTTCCTCCCTACTCCGATTGACAGTAGACGAAGCCATTGCATTCATTGCAAGTTTAAAAGCTTTCATCTCGTTTTGGTTCACAAGGGATGCGTTACTCGAAGTAAATTTTCTTAGAAGAAGCTTTATCTGGTCAAATAACGTGGCTACATTCGCCTTCATCGGCCGATTTTTGACAGTCATCTACATTTCGTGTACAAATAACGTGTCAACAACAACAACGTCTGCGAACGTCAAAATTACATTTCGTGCGCACTATAAATCTCAACCATCAATTTTCCCAAATTGGAAATGAAATCTAAAAGAGGAAGAGGAATCTAACACACAAATTATATAATAAATCAAAGAAAACGAGAATAAAGTGTTACGTCGCTTACATATTCATGGAGCAAGGGGTTGTCGGTAACAATGTCAATCATATTTAAACCCAGAAGTACAGCAATTTCGAGACCTTCAATTAAAGCTTTCAATTCAACCAACTCATGATTCGATTGGCTCTCTTTCCCACTGAAATTTTTGCTCAGCTCAAACACCAAATTATCATTCCCGTCACAAATCGCCACCCCAATTCCACCGTCAATTTGATCGACCAAACCCTTGGCGTAAACCCTAAATCGCAAACCTTCCCGATTGGCCGACGACGAGGAGCCCTCGCCGTACGGGCGTTTCAGTTTGTTGCCGGTTTTGCCCCACTCCTCATCCGGCACTTTCACAATCTCGCAGGCGAAAGCTCGGTCGTGGATCTGGCGGTTGAGATCGAGCTGCAACCGCTTCGCCTCCTCCTCGGCCAGATACTGATCGAGAAGCTCCTGATCGTACCTTTGCAGATTTTCTTTCTGGAGGAGATCCGACGGCAGAGTGGCGGAATCGGCGTTGGTAAGCATAACACCGCCATCGAGAAGGGAAGCTTTGAGCGCTTCTTCGAACTGGAGGCTGTAGGCGAGATCGAAATCTTCATCCATTATTACTTACTGCTTACTTCACCTCCGCTTTTTTGGCGCCAAAAAATGAAACTATCGCCGCCTTTTTACCCCCCACCCCCTTTTCACTTTTTTACTTCTACGAGTGGGACTGAGTAGATGGGAAGTCTTTGTAGGTCCGGAAGTTTAGTTATTTTCTTTCGAAAGATTACAATTTTCTCCCATCAAATTTACAATGATTTCACATTTGGCCGCCCATGTTTATAAAAAATATATATTTGGTCCTTTATGTTTTATAATTGAACAATTTTAGTCATTTCGATCAATTTAACATATTTGGTCATACCATCAATTTACCATTAGTCTGTTAGTTAAGACAACTGAAAGTGTTGAATTTGAAATATAAGAGATCGGATGTATTTTATGAACATGGGGGACTAAATGTGGAATCCATGCAAACATGAAGGATGAAATATTACTTAAATCAACTGTAAGTCAGTGCCGGCCCTAGAATCCTAGATTGAAGAAATGGGTAAAAATAAATTAGGGACATTATTTTGTTAATTTCTTTTTTGAAACAAGACATTTCATATAACATATTTAAAATTTCACAAATATAAGAATTTGGGATCTTATTATATAATATATTCTTTTAATAAACTTCAGATTTTCATATCATTTTTTTAATACAAAAAAATATATTTTTTAGAACCATAGTCCCTTGCCTTGCATTGCAAGTATGATCATGTGACAGTAAATAAAACTCGGACAAAGATATGCATCAACAAAATCAAAAGTGTTTGCAAATATCATTAAAATCAACTTGAAATAACCAATTTATAAGTTGCCCTATTTGGTATTTGCAAAATAAGAGTAGCAAAAGATATCATCACTTCACTAAGGAAAAGAAAATATACTTCATTAAAGATGTTTCACTACTCGTACACGATGTTGCGTTCATCCCAAATAGGGCAAGTGCAAGTTGCTTTCTTGTTTTCCCATCTCGCTCCACATGTATAGCAAAACTCGTGTCCGCACCTACACATTTTTTTTTCAATAAAAATATCGAACGAACGAACGTCAGAGACAAACGACACACCAATGAGCAATTTATAGACAATTTAATCGACTATTTATTCATGTATCGGAATCATTTTCACATACTAAGTTGATCATGTATGACAAAACATAAACCATTGAAATTCAAGAAAGTAAAGAGTGTATATATATATATATATATATATATATATATACCTGCAATAAATATGGTAGCATCCAACTGCAAGTGAAACCATATTCTTGCATTTCGGACACTGGCGCCACAGATTCCGAGCAGCCAAAGACTTCAGCTTCTTGTCTTCTTCAGACGGGTAAGGATTTAGCCTTTTGAAATCAGAGCAGCTCATATTACTATGCCATGGCACTTTACAATTGATACAAAAACCGCCACTACACCTAGGGCACTTTGCAGTTGAGTTACTCATATGTTCTTTAAGCTCACTTTGGGACAACAAAGTCGAACACTTTGCGTAGGGGCAATAAATCTTCTCTGACGGAGGAATGGATGCTTCCTTCAAGCGTTGGCTCATGATTTCGGATAATTCAGGAGTCAGAAACTTTTTGCAGCTATCGAGTTTCAACTCGGACTTGCAATTCTCGTGAGGGCATTTGGGTAAAATCCCTTGAAGCAACTTGAATTGGACGTGTTTTGACATACACAAAAAGCAGTAGCTATGCAGACAGCCTTCAATTCGGAACATTTGATCCACTGACGTGTTTTCCAAACAAATAGTACAACTCTCAGTCGAATTATTTGCGTTCCCATTTCCTCGTGACGAATTTACATTAGAAACCATTGCGTTTCTTGCAAGTTCAACAGCTAACACCATGTCTTTGCTGGCCACAAAAGATGCACGAGTGTGTGTACATTTTCTGAGAAGAAGATTTATCTGATTGGATAATGCGGCAACATCTGCATTCATTTGCGGGTTTTTGCCAGTGACCTGCATTGCATTTAGAACAAAGGCGCCAACAACATCAAAACTATGTCTGTAAATGTACAATAACTTCAAAGTGCAGAAAATACACACAGATGCGCATTAACTTTCAAAACTTAGACGAATCAACACACAAGAGGAAACAAAACTGCTTAGAAATCGAACTAATCATCTAGAACCTCCGAATGGATGAATACGCTCATTTTATTTATCGTATCCTAATTTCATGTCAAGTTCCTTCAGTCATATAGATCTCATTCCATAAATTTCGGGGTTAATTTCAACATATAAGCAAGAGGTAATTTTTCACAATTCAAGTAAAATAAAGTGCTTAAGTGATAGTCGTCACTTACATATTGATAAAGCAAAGGACTGTCCGTAACAATGGTAATCCTATTTAAGCCGAGGGTTACAGCAACATCAAGTCCCTCAGTTAAAGCTTTCAACTCAGCAAAATATTCATTCGATTTCGCTTGAGCATCTTTCCAACTGAAAACTTTACCCAACTCAAACACCAGATTACGATTCCCATCGCAAATCGCCACCCCAACACCACCCATCGTTTCCCCCACCAAACCCTTGACATAAACCCTAAATCCCGAAATTTGCCCACCGGAGGACGACGACGCCGCCGAAGAGCCCTCGCCGTACGGCCTGATCAAATGATCCCCTGTTCTGATCCACTCCTCCTCCGGCAGGTTGAGAATCTCGCAAGCGAAAGAGCGGTCGTGGATCTGACGGTTGAGATCGAGGCGCAAGCGTTTGGCCTTCGCCTCGCCGTTGTACAGGTCGAGAAGCTCCTTCTCGTACTTGTAGAGATGGTCGCTCTGAAGGAGGTTTGATAGAGAAGCGCCGAAGACGGCGTCGTATGGGACGGAGGCGGTGTCGGGTGAGGAAACGGCGCCGTCGAGAAGTGATTCAGTTAGGGCTTCTTCCACCTGAAGGTTGAAGGCGAATTCTGAGTCGTCTTCCATTACTTTCGCCTCTGCTTTTTGGCGCCCAATGATGTTCTAGTGATCTCAGTAATTCTAAGGGTTTTTTGTTACACCGCCATTTTTATATCTTTCAATTACAGTATTTATTAGGAGTAATTATTATTACTACTCACTACACTCAGTACATGAGAAGTCTCTTTGTGGCGTTGGAAATTGAATTTTTTCTCATTTTTTTAAATAATTAATTTTTTGTTGCTATTGAATATGTATAATTCATTGACTGTGTATTGTGCTCTCATAATATTTAACAATTTTATAAAAAAAATGAGTATTTTTTAATTGAAGAAAACAAAAAAAATAATAACTTAGTCTAACAAGTTGGATAAAAAAAATTACGAATTGTAACTTGGAACAAGGGACGAGAATAACACTTTGCATGGTGAATTTAAGCCATACTCAATTGAGAACATTTTCATTATATTACACCAAAATATTCATTAAATCTTCCTAATTTCTATTATTTAGTTCAGCTAAAATTTAAATTTATGCAAAAAATATAAAATCTAAGTTTTCTTTTCTAAATTTTGTTATGAGAGGGTATAACTCTTCATTATAATTACAATTCCATGGAATAGAGTTATACCATATGTTTTAAATGATTTCACTTAATTTTCATATTGTGTTTTGCGCGCTTAGCGTATTCTTCTTTGTAATATTTATTTGAATTTCATTTGTTACAACTCTGAATTAAGAAATTTTTTTTTCATTTCTTTCCATTTTGTTGAATTGACATTGTTATAAAGAGATAATCGTTTAAATATTATTATTTGTCTCATTTTGAAACTGACATCCGTACAACGCACGGGTGAAGAACCAGTATAAAATATAAGTTTCTTTTCTAAATTTTGTTCAGAGAGGGCTGCTCTGAATTCCCAAAAAAATTAAGTCCACCATGTAACAACATTATAAACTCGGCACTCGTGAAACAATTTATCATTTAATTTAATTTCGTTGTTTTTTAATATATATTCGATATCCATTGATAAAACCATGGGCCACCTAAATCCAGCTCAAGTAAAGTATTAATGTGGCCCAATACTCGAGATAATGAACATACAACGATAGATCATAGACAGTCAACCAAGCCCATTAATTGATTTAAATAAAACAAAGATAATTCAAACAAAATATAAAAAATAAAAATAAAATAAGTAATTCAAAAAATCCATGGAAAATAAAAATAACTAGGTCAACTATTAACAAATTGACAATGGTCCTTTATCATCATACTTGATATCATTCTAGTCCTTCAAAATAAATATACTTATTAATATAAAATCAATAATAATAATAATTGTCACTAAATAAAAATATTACTAATACAAGAATAAAAAGTAATTGAGGATAATAAATTATATAATAATCAATTATCAAACTAATACAAGTTTTCGAGCAAAAAAAATTACTAATAACCCCAACAAAAATAATATAATATATTTTTATTCGATAATCGTAATATTAATTAATAATTAATAATTTATTAATCATTTTTTTATATATTATATTACTAAGAAATCGGCAACAAATAATCTCAACCCTCGGCGTCGCAGCCTGATAGCATATTGCGCTGTTGCTCACAAATTCCCAATCGCTACTTTTCAGATCAGTTCATTTTATCCGTCGCAGAGAGCAAAAAGATGAGCGGAGTGGGGAAGAAGGTTGTCGACGTGGCATTCAAGGCCGGAAGGACCATTGACTGGGATGGTATGGCGAAGCTGATGGTCTCCGACGAGGCTCGCAAGGAGTTTTCCACCCTCCGCCGCGCCTTCGATGAGGTCAATACTCAGCTTCAGACCAAATTCAGCCAGGTTACATTTTCTATTGATTTCCGCCCTTTTTTTATTTCCTTGTTTTTATAGGTTAACTGTTCGTTTGCCTTTCGATTGGAGTGGATCTGATGGCCAGATCTGTTGATTTTCTAGCTATTTTTTCTTTTGTGTTTTTTTTTTTTTTTTTCATGTTTTAGAGTGATCTGATTATTATTAATTTTGGGGGTTTAAATTATGTGTAGATGATTGTAAGCTGACGATATTATTTGTTGAGTTTCAAAAACGAATTAATCATGATTTGTTTGAGGATTCTTCCTTTTTTTTCGATCAGGTTGATTGGTTACACTCCTTGTGTAATTCGTCATTTAAACATTAGTTTCTAGGTCCATTTCCGTCATCGAGTACTAGGTATAAGTTTTACATTGGACGTTGTTCTGATGGGTACCGTGGGAAGAATAGGGGCTAACCTTTTGAGTGCGTTTGGATGAAGGGATTTGATTTTGGGAAGGGATTTGAAACGACTCCAATTTGCAGTCATTTGAAATCCACCCCAATTGCTCCAAAAACAACTAAAAAGGATGGGTGGGGATTTGAAATTCATCCCCAAATCCCTCAGTCCAATCAAGTTCAAGGGATTTGTTATTATGGATTTGAAATCCCTCCTCCAAATCCTTCCATCCAAATGCACCCTTTAAGTTCATAGTCTATTCAGCTTTCGCTCAGAAGCTGTCGAAGTTTAAATTGATCTTGAAAGAATCTGTGAAGATTTTCGTGAATGCAATTTGAGTGCTGGAAATCAGAAATCAAACAGTGCCCAAAGATTCATATTTGGAATTTTAATTAGAAAATCAGCAATGGGTGAAGATAGAAAAATAAACAGAATGGAACAATTTAATGTATGGAGTGAAACTCAAACCGCAAGTTTTACAATTTTTTACAAATTTCAAAAACTTTAAATCAGAGTTCTCAGTCATGTATTGGCCTTCAAGAGGAAAAAAATGTCGGACTTGGCTCACAATGTAGATGCATGGAATGAGCATAGGTCATTACTTAAGTTATATATTTACTCATTCAGGAATTGTAGATTAATTTATGATTCCTGAACTGTGGATAAATGTCCTGTTTACTTGAAGTGACAAATAAACTTTTCTTTTCTCCTACTTAGGCTCATGCATTGCATTTTTTATAGTAGCTGTCAGCTAATTATCTTGCTTTCCTATTGTGTGCAATCATTGCCTGTGGGGAATTTAGTTATGTGGGGCTAATCGAATTATGAGAACATATGTAGAAATGAGAAGTGTTTTGATGGTTGAACTGAGGTTTCTTCCTTCTTCTTGACAAGTAGAACGGGTGTGAGAAGACATGTTCTACTATTTGAGGGTATGAATGGCGTTGCGACTAGATTGACAGGAAATGAGCCTTGTCCAGTCCTCAACTTATGAAGGGCATTGCTTAAATTTCGCAAGGATGGTGTTTACATTTGTAGGTTTTGATCTAGAAAAGTGTAATAATTTGTAATTTCGACTTTCCGTTGAAAGTGGGTGAGTAAGACGGCATGTTTTCCAATTATCAAATAGTAGAAAATGGTAAAATGAGCTCCGGAAACATAAACAAGCATGCTCCCAAATCTTGGGCAATGCAACTCAATTGTCTCTTGCTCCAGCCTCTGGTGGGCATTTCCTCCCATACAACTTATCTGCAATTGTTTCGTTCTAAATCTATAACTCTCATTTTAACCAAAGTCAAATACTCCCTAGGAGTCAAAAAACTTGGGAGGAAATTTTATGTTGTGGTTGCTGCGTGTATTGGGCGCTTGGCAGAGGATGTTTTAGCCCTTCTATTTCTAAAGTATTCCTCTATAGTTAATCTTTGTTGTTATCCAGGCTTACCTATTGGCAATGCCAGTGGGTTTTTCTTGTAAGAAAAGGTGAAAACTAGATTATATGAGCTTCTAATTATTTTGTGTAAATATGCAGGAACCAGAACCCATAGACTGGGAGTACTACAGAAAGGGGATTGGCTCTCGATTAGTTGACATGTACAAGAAAGCTTATGATGGTTCGTGCCGATTATTATTATTGTTATTATTATATTTTATTTTTTTATGTGTCCTGTCTTTTCCTGTGCTCTATTTATCTTTTCTTTTTCCCAATTAATACTTTACCTATATTGGTATAGATACTTGGTTCCTACTGCTTCAAGACTACAATCTTCATGTGATTCTCCCATGACTGAATGTTAGAAACAATACCCAAACCCTTCTGTCGTACAGAAGCAGGAAACAGAAAAAACAGCATTACAGACACGTACAAAAGATTTTCTTATATTAAAACGAGTAGTGGAGTAAGTTAATGGTCTTTAAGTTGTGGCGGTGCTCTATTTTAGACACCAGTTTTACTCCAGTGGCTCGGTGGTGTGTGTTTGCTTCACTTTCCCTCCGTTATGGCCCAATTTTAGTTGCATCCCATGTGAAAGTATAAACCATGAAAGTGCTGAAATAATTAGACCAACATCTGTAACATCCAAATGATTAGCTTTTGAAAGTTCCTATTGATATTGTGGTCTTTTATTGATTAAATATGTCATCATTGCAATTGTATGTTATAGTGAAAGTGGGCTCTTGTCATATCTAAATTCCTTTGTACTGAAATCTCCCGTCATTTGAAACAGTGAAAATAGCTTTCTTTATCAAAGATCCCATGTACTATTTTGACTTGTTAGTGTTTTCACATCCATTGAATTTGAGTTCAATTATCTGATTTCATATATCTATTTATTTATGTGCAGAAGTTAAAATCCCACAGTATGTTGACAATGTCACTCCTCAGTACAAGCCTAAGTTCGATGCCCTGGTGAGATAATATGCCTTTATTCATAATACGTTTGTTGTTTCCTCCAAAATTAAAAAAAAGTTTATTGTTGGTACCATAGCTTTGGCAATTGATTAATATGAGAATATGCCGGAATTATATCTACACAAGTATTTGAATCAACTTAAATCCAAACATCATTTCATGTAGAGTCGTAAGAGTTGTTGAATTGGGCAGCCATTTATTTGAATCTGCGTCTTCTAGAACCTAATATACTATAATTTATTCATTAATTTTGCCTTTTAGAGTTTGCTAAAATAACATTCTTTAAGAAAGTTCTTATGTTAGGCAGTACTAGATGCGCTTGCATACTGAGGCGAGTACATTGTAGTATATGCGTCCCGTACAATGATCATGATTGGCATAAAACTTGAAATATGTAACTTGTTCACGATTATATGTATTATGGGGTAGGTAAAATGAGGAACTTATTCCAATTTCTCCTTTATTCACATGATATATCAAATTAAAAATGTTGGGGATGAATCTTATAACAAAATTCAATTGAGTTGCAGTTGGTGGAGCTGAAAGAGGCTGAGCAGATGTCACTGAAAGAGTCTGAGAGATTAGAAAAAGAAATCGCAGACGTTCAAGAGTTGAAGGTGACGAAATCCCCCCCCCCCTCTCTCTCTCTCTCTCTCTCTCTCTCTCTCTCACACACACACACACACACACACACACATGAAAGGACTCTCACACCTTGTTTTTGGTGCAACAGAAGAAGCTCAGTACCATGACAGCTGATGAATACTTTGCGAAGCATCCAGAGCTGAAGAAGAAGTTTGACGATGAAATTAGAAATGATTACTGGGGCTATTAGTTTTCCCTTTGCTTTGACTGTTCCTGGGACAACTTTCAGGTCAAACTTTTGGGTTCAAATCCAATCAGAAATAAAGGGAGGAACAATTTTTATTTTATTTTGCCATTTGATTTCATGGGTATTCTGAAGATTGTGAAGGAGAATACAATCCTTTGGATGCCTTTGCAGCTTCCATTGGACATTTAACTTTGAGTTGATTATGGATCGCGTAAATTCCGTGTTAAATTCTTCACTTCATAAACATTTGCATAAATTTCGGAGAAGTGTCCCTTTCTATCCAAATATATTCGTAAGCATGTAATGTTCCGAGTTTTAACATGCGAGTCACATGACATGCACCACTCTCTTGCTTGTTTTGCATTATGATGTGTGACATGTTAGAGCATTTCTTGAAATGTGCCTTCAATAATAACTTTTGATTAGATGCTCAGTAATATTACTTTTTATAGTATAAGCTTATGCTTATAAATTCAAATGGACCACTTCTCTCACTTTGCTAAAATCACTTGAAAGACCAGGTGCTTGTACAGGTGACCTATTTAACGGAGTAAGTGAGACTGTAAAGTTAATTAAGCTGAGTTCGAATTCCGTTGACAACGTTTAGTTTATTGGGCAAATTACGGCCACCCCCTGAGTATGACCAAATTACGAGAAAACCCCTCTTGTTTTGATAATTACAACCACCCTCTTCTTTTAAATATTTTTACATAAAATTTGTGTAATTTCGTTATTTACCGAACCAAATCGTATATTCTGTTGACCGGGTCAACAGAATGAAATGTTAGTTTACTGAAATTTTGGTTTGGTTTTACCGATTTAACATCTCTAAATTTATCTCTAAAGGGGTTTTTTTGTTGAGGAGTGACTGTAATTTCCCAAACATGAAGGAGGATTTCGTAATTTAACCATAATCCAGAGATAGCCATAATTTGCCATGGTTTATACCTAATGTAGTTTATCACCATAAGTCAAAGTAAACAGCAACCTTTGATTAAATTCATTGCACATTTGCAATTTGTCTGTATAATTCAGAATTATTGTGGGTTCTAAATGCTTTTGCAACCACTCATGTAGTTTAATATAAAAAAGACAAAACAAAAACAGTTTGATGAAGCAATAAATGAAAAGACTGTTAAACTTTTTTCTCTGAAAAAAGGGAAAAAGAAAAAAGAAGACGACTTTTTCACTCAAGAATCGCAGTCGCTTAATTTTTTTATTTGACTTGTGAAATAATAATTTCGAAATTATGGGGTTCGTTATGCTTGTGGTACACCAGTCAAGTCGAGCAGTTAATTTTGACCCCAGTCTCATAATTCTTCTCTACATATATATACCACATGCTCACAGTCACGATATATACATCTATTCGAAAACTGAAATGATTTACGCGGCAGCAAAATTACGAATGTCGTTCACAATAGTCTTTTCTTTCTCTCTCTAAAAATCCTCAATTCCACCCAAAGCCCAAAATCCCCAAAAGCCCCAAAATTCACAAAAACCCTCAACCTCTCTCACAAATCCTCCAAAATCTGAAAATTTCGTCAATTTGAAAGGTAATTAATCATCTAAAATAGTTATATATATTGAATTTGGGGTAAATGATGTGAAAATCCCCTGAAAATCGCAATTTATGGCTATTTTTAGTGTTGGGTTTTCGAATTTTCCACGCCCAAAATGGATGTGTGAAAGCAGTTTCCACGCCTGATTTAGGCGTGGAAACAGCTTTCCCACGCCCATTTTGGGCGTGGAAAATTAATTCGGGCGTCCGGTCCAGACGTTGGTTCCGGACCGGTCGTCCGGTTCAAATTTTTTTTTTTGCCCAGTATAACTGACATTATTAATAATATTTAAATAAGTATTAATTTATAAACGTGCTGTAGCCTAGTTGGTTAGGCCTTTTGTCTAACAAACAATGTGCCCGAGTTCGAGCCTTTGTAGCAACGCGTATTTATTAATTTTTTGCCCAGTATAATGAAACAAATAATTATATTTAAATAAGAATTTTTTATCAAAATTGCAGTAGCCTACTTGGTTAGGTAAGTAGGCATTTTCACTGCAACAACCTGGGTTCGATTCCTTGTTGCAGCACAATTTTTTTTTTTTTTTTATTAAAACACAGTCAGCACTCGCACCCAAACCGGGCGCGGAGAGCTGTGTCGTGCGCCCAAACCGAGCGCGGGAAGTAGTTTTCCGCGCCCAAACCGGGCGTGAATCGAGCTTTTCTGCGCCCAGTTTGGACGTGAAACGTATTTTTCGGCGTCCAAATTGGTCGTGGGTCGTGTTTTCGCGATTTAAAGAACAAAAACGAACAAATTTTACCTCATTGGATTCCGTATCTCGATCCTCATTCGATGCACTCATTTTTTTTTGCAAATGGCTACAATAACATGAGTTTTGGAATGATTTCTAAAACGACCAAACCCCGGGCGGGCCCCACCACGACGCAACCACCACTATCGGCGCCTCATCAGTAGTCAGTACTCGACGACAGATCCTGCTGACGTGGCACAACTCACCCAGACTTCCGTTTTCGTCTCTTTTCTCACCCACCCCCCGAACTCCACAAAATTGCACTCCGGTCCCCCACCTCCACCTCCTAAACCCCACCCGCATCCATTAATGGCGAATTAGAACAGCTCATCATCACTCATGCACTTGCTCATAATCACAGTAACAATTTTTTTCAATTAAATCTGTATCACTCTCATTGTTCACTAATTTAATATGCAGACGGCATTTCCCTATCTGTAGCTTTCCCCGTCATTTTCGTACAACGATGGTGCAGAAGAAGCAAAAAAATAATAATATTCGTTTCCATGTATGAATAGTCGGACAAATCTTTGGTTGTGGTGAACATTTTGCTTTGTTGATGTCTAAGGTCAACGAGTCATCCGCCTGGAGGGGTGATTTCACGGGTCTCCGCGACGAGGACCTTCGAAAACCTAATGGCTACAGTTACAGTTCCTTCGCCCACGGCGGAGGATCGGCGGCGGCGGCGGCGGGGAATGGTGGGGATTGGAAGTTTCACGCGGTGGAATTTGCCAAGGGGGCAGCGGAGATGAGTGTGGAGTTTGGGAAGGGAGTGAGGGATGTAGTGAAGCAGAGTATTTTGAGGGAGGATTCTGTAATTATGAGGAAGTTCAAGGGCCCTTGCGTGAAGATTTTGGGGAAATTGAGATTTCTGAATGAGTATCTGCCTGAGGATCGCGATCCGGTTCATGTTTGGACCGTTTTCGCCTGCGTCTGGGTTTTTGCTTTTGCAGGTCATTTCTTTGCCCTCTTCATAATTTGTTCATAATTGTGGCCAATCTGAATCTGCATAGATAAACATTTTGTTCAAAATTTGTTCTACTGTACATGTGAAATTGGTCTGAAAAAACTGAATTATAATACTAATTAATTACTAGTGTTTTCTAAATCTTTGCCATATTTCGCATAATTCGTATGAAAGCTGTTTCTATAGGTTGAATTCAGTAGCACATCTCTCTTCTAAGTTTTCGTGAAATGCCCGTCCTTCTTGATTTTTTAAATCGACCATATGTTCCTGATGTTTCCGTAATTTCCATAACTTGTCCTAGCCAATTTTTTTTTTTTTGTTCTGACTGGCAACGAAAAATTGTACAGCTTTAATAGTAAATATTACTCAAACTACAACTCCATTGGTTAAAAAGATGAAGGTGGACCCCACTAGTGCTAGTCTCGTATTGCTTCCCGATGGAAGACGTTTAGCTTATCAAGAGCAAGGCGTCCCTGCTAATCGAGCCAGATATTCAATGATCTTCCCCCACTCGTTTCTTTCATCTCGACTTGCAGGTATATTCTATTATTATACACAACTTTACTTTCATATCAAACTAATCAAGAAACTGCCGATTAGAAAAATATAATTTTCATTGTTTCGTACTAGGAATCCCTGGTCTGAAAGGTGAGTTATTACAAGAGTTTGGTGTTCGACTAGTGACATATGATCTACCTGGATTTGGACAAAGCGATCCTCATCCAGATAGAAACCTCGAGTCGTCGGCTTTGGACATGTTACATTTGTCGTATGCTTTGAATGTTAGTGACAAGTTTTGGGTAGTGGGATATTCTGATGGAAGCAAGCATGCTTTTGCTGCCCTTAATTACATTCCAGATAGGCTTGCAGGTAAAAAACTAAGCTGTCTTATGTGTGTGTGTGTGTGTGTGTGTGTATAAACTGAAAATTCTTTCTTTAGGTGCAATAATGGTTGCTCCAATGGTTAATCCATACGAACCGAGGCTGAACAAGGAAGAGAGACGAAGAATCTGGGGGAAATGGACAGTAAAGAAAAAACTGATGTATTTCTTAGCTCGGAAATTTCCTAAACTACTTCCGTATTACTACCGAAGAAGTTTCCTCTCTGGTAACCATGGTCAGATAGAAAAGTGGCTTTCGATTTCAGTCGGAAAGAGGGTGAGTTGATCATATTATACATTCTCGTAGAAAGAATATTGACTGTGTTGAACTTCTCATTGAAAACTACGAATTTATATATTCTAGGATAGAGCTGTGATAGAGGGCAGAGTTTTCGAAGAGTTTTGGCAGAGGAATGTCGAAGAATCTGTTCGACAGGCGAATCCGAAACCATTCGTTGAGGAAGCTGTTTTACAGGTTTCAAATTGGGGTTTCGCCATTTCTGATCTAAATTTACAGAACAACAAACGCAAGAGCAAAGGCATTCTTGCTTGGCTCAAATCATTGTACAGACCTTCAGAAAAAAGTTTGAGTGGATTCCTCGGCCCAATACATATATGGCAGGTCAGTGATGAATTGTCTATACAGTCCTTGTCGTCACTTCCACTCTACGCACATCAACGTGGGCATTTTTGTCTTTTTCTTAATAGGGTGCTGAGGATAATGTGGTTCCGCCATCAATGAGCGAGTTTGTTAACCGTGTTGTACCGGATTCGATGCTGCATAAGTTGCCGTACGAGGGGCATTTCTCGTACTTTTACTTGTGTGAAGAGTGTCATAGGCAGATTTTCACTGTGGTTTACGGAAATCCGCAGGGTCCTCTTGCTCTGAAGGAGGATTATCTAACTGCCGTTGAAGGTGACGGGGAAGAAAACACTGAAGCTATTTTCGGTGGTATAGCTATAGACAAAGATAATATGATAGATTCATAAAATTAAATGGGAAGGAGAAAAGAAATTTATGGGGTGTGTTATATATTAAAGAACAGCATAGGGTCAATGATGATATGATTTATGAAGAATGAATTTATATAGGATATATATACAGACATATACTCAGCTGCAGCAGCATATTCATGAAATGAAAAATTCTTTTGAATAGTCTTCTTACAAGGTAAGTTCTTACCTTTCTCGAATCAAATGGCAAGGATCAAGAATCATGCCGTGTTGGTTTTCTTTTCTTTCCTTTTTTTTTTTCTTTCTTTTTAGGGATTTTTATGCAAAAGTCCCCAACCAAGCATGTTTATTATTCTAGGTATAGGGGACATATCTCTTTCACCAATAAGCCCATCCCTTTAATATTTATTATAACTAAAGGAAACATTCATGTATATCCCAATATTACCCTCAATCATTTATACCCAATTCTTAATTGTAATCCAAATTAATCAATTTTGTCCATAAAAGTTCAATTTAGACCACAAAAATTCAATTTTGACTTTTTTTTGGAGTATAATTTAATATGCTCCAATTTCATCCTTAACTTAATTTAATCTCAATTTGACCCCAAATTTCACAAATTATTAAATTTTGACCCAAATTTTTTTTTTTTTTCAAAAAATTTTTTTTTTCAAAAACTTTTTTTTGCCGCCGGTCTCCGGCGTTGACTTTTTAAACTTTTTTTTTTTTTTTTTTTTTCTTCCGGAGTTGACCGGCGGTCAACGCCGGTCTCCGGCGTTGACTTTTTTTTTTTTTTTTTTTCTTTTTTCTTTTTTTTTTTCTTTTCTTTTCTTCCGGATTTTTTCGCCGGTTTCCGGCGGTCTCTTTCTTTAGTGTTTTTTTAAGTTTTTTTTTTTTTGTTTGGTTTGTTTTGTTTTTCCACGCCCGCCGCTACACGTTGAC